ACTCGCGAAAAATTCAGCTCCCCAGTAATTACGTGAACGAACTGTCTTTTCTTAGTCTTAGTCTTGTTTCATTTTCCTTGTCTGGCATTACATTTTCAGTCGCCAGTGAGTTCACAGCGATTTTGTTATTAAAGAATGCAACGACTAAGAGGTGAAAAATTCGAAAGAAACGGTATTGGTTTTTTTTTTTCCAGCGAACAATTTAAATTAGCCTCCACAATAACCTTCCCAGGCCATACTCTGTTTTTCATTGCTTTCGTCATGTACCCGAGCAAATGTTCCTGTTACCAAAGCATTTCTACTCTAGTAGCGTCTCGGCACCGAAACAAGTGAAAGAACTATTCTGAGACCCGTGCCAATAAAGGAGATTTATCAGTCACCAAGCATTGAAGTCAAACCTAAGTTTGCCGCCTTTCTTCTTTTCCCGTTATCAGGTAAAATCCCAGTCCCCGCCGACCTTGAGCTGTACTGTCAGCGGCTGCAGTGGTGTACCGGGAGCTCCCGGGGCCAAGGGAGACCAAGGACCTGTGGGAACACCCGGTAAAATGGGACCGAAGGGCTCTCAAGGGCCCAAAGGCGAGCAGGGTACCCAGGCCCCTCAGAGAAACTGGAAACAATGTGCGTGGAAGAATCTCAATGATGGGAGAGACTATGGGCTGATTAAGGTAAGAGACTTTATTAACAATAATTATAAAAAAGTGCTCGCTGATTAGTTTCCCCTAATATTTATGACAAGAAAATCAGAGTCTGGCTACGTGGCGTCAAGTTTGTTTTTAACCAGGTAATAAAAAGATAAGCATCAGCGTTTTCTATCAAATTAAGATATAAATTTACTTCCGGCTTGTAGGAGTGCATTTTTACCAAGCACGCCCAGGATACAGCCTTGAAAGTGGAGTTCAATGGTGACTACAGAATAGCTTACTGCCTGGATTGCTGTAAGCGATGGTACTTCACCTTTGATGGTGCTGAGTGTAAAGGTCCACTCACCATTGATGGTCTTGTCCTTATTTATCGAAACAACGGCAAAACGGACACCAATATACACAAAACAACTTATATTGGAGGATACTGCCAGGGACTTTCCAAGGGAACCATTAAAGTGGGAATAAAAGTCGGAGACTGCCCGGGGAAGAAATCGGGGTCTGATGCTTATACCGGGTGGAACTCCGTAACTCGTATCATGATCGAGGAGGTCAATGCACCCCAGAAGTAGCTTGGAAGCAAAACAGAAAGATAGAAGGCCTTAACCTGCTTCTTAATTTTGTTGTTATCATTATCATATGGTACACATTAGATGCGGGATATTAGTGTATTAACAGCGATTAAAAAGATTAATTTTGAAGCATTAGCGATTTGTGTGTTTATTGTTGAAACTACAGCAGAGAGGTATCAAGTGCCCGATCCCTGAATTCCTTCGAATACGCTAAATTTACTTGGAAAATCCATGAAGCGGCGTATGCACCGCTTACGATTTGGTTTCCGTTTGTGAGAGTAATCCTACTCAAAGAACCTCAAAGGGCTCTTAAGATCTTAGGAATTCATAAACCAAAAGATAGCTCGAGTATTGAAACCCCTTACACTGAAAGTTAGCTCACTTTTGATGGACATTTAAAAAAATTCTGTGGAAATCACAAGACATCAAATGATCATTTTTCAGTATTTGGATTTAAGGTCATTCCCCAGTATTGCATTGCGCATCCTTACTGCGCATAATTTATGGCGATATTAACGCGCTTCGTGCACGCGCACATTGAAAACATGGCGGATATGCCTTAATATTGAATTCTATCGGTTGAAAAATGGCTATAGCTCACTAACGAGCTCGGGCACCCCAAATCTTTTTCCAGTCATTTTAATCAACTAATCATTAGCTCTGCGTGAGAAAAGACTGATTTGATTTCTATTGTTGAAAATTGAATAAATAAGAAAAATAGCAGTGCACTATGGTCTTTTCTGTTTTGCAGTTTGATAGCCGTGGCAAGCAATTTGGTTCCAATATTTTAACAAG